GGAATCGAGCCCCACACTGGGCTCTCTGCTCAGCAGGGAGCCTGCTTCTCCTGTCTCTGCCTGCTGCTCTGCCTACTTGTGATCTGTCAAATAAATAAATAAAATCTTTTAAAAACAAACAAACAAACAAAAAACTAGCTAAGAAATTCCTTGATACTGACTAACGTTCTTTGCTTGACCAAACTTTTCATCAGGCTCGTGAACAACCTCCTAGACCCATCTGTGCATGTCCTAAATTCTAATCTTTGGGGGTGCCTGACTGGCTCATTGCATTGAGCCTCTGCCTTCGGCTCAGGTCATGACCTCAGAGTCCTCAGATCAAGCCCCGCATCTGGCTCTCTGCTCATCAGGGATCCTGCTTCCCCCACTCTCTGCCTGCTGCTCTGCCTACTTGTGATCTGTCAAATGAATAAATAAAATCTTAAAAAAAAAAAAAAATTCTAGTCGTTGTAAGAACCCTGCTTAAGTCAAGTTAAGCACAAGCCCCTACCTTTGATACAAGATTAGGTTCCCCAACCACCAACATCCCCCAAGTGATGTCTGACCATCCCAGCCTATCTTTAGCAACAATCCTGTTAGGTCTAGCCAGAATCCCACCGCCCCTGCCCTACCCCCAGCCCTTTACCATTAGGGTTTCCTCTTAGTCATCTTCTATCCCTCATACCATCCACCTTGGCCATAAATTCCCACTTGCCCATGCCCATGCTATGCTTAGACTAGAGTGCAACATCTGCCACCCCCCCGACCCCCGCCGTACAATTCCAGTGCAGTGGTCCCTACACATGTGGGAATGGTCCCGAATAAAGCCTGCCTTACTATCTTTAACAAAGATGACTGAACCTTTTCCTGTAACAACATTACACAGAAGCAATGTAGATAAGTCGCTATCTGTATTACTAACACTGTTTAACTGCCCTGAAAAATTGTGTGCCAAGAGGACTTTACTAAAGCCCTAGGTCCCAGGTCTTCCCAGTCCACCCTTCATCATTTCTTCGGCCATCTCTACTCCCAGTCCCTGTACCATCTCCTCATAAATCCTCCACGTAGTTATAAAACAATATCCACGTTAGCAATAATCATTTAATACAACACTGGGTTGTCTCATTAACTTCCATCCTGTCATTTTGGCAAATGGCAGGTAGAGAACCTCTACCTATTTCTGGGACCCTCCATTTTAGAAGACCCCAGACTATGAGCTTTTGTAGAGGTGTTAAGTCAATAAAATCGTGACATCTTTCATCTCATGAAGAATGAGAAAGCAGTAGGGTGACGAAGACCCCAAGAACTCACGGGAATTGGCATTGGCGATTTCGTTGGTCTCGTTGGGGTCCAACCAGACCTTCTTTTTGCCACAGCGGAGGACGCTGGAGGCAAGCCTCTTCTGAAGCCTGAGCATACTGTGACAAACAGAAAACATTATCAAGCCCTGAAAGCCCTTTCCCAGCAAGACCTGCCTTCCAATCTTTTAATGCTGTGAAAAATAGAACACAGGAACTGGATGCGTGTAAGCACTCAGTATTTAGGACAACAACCCGCCCTCCACCCCCATATTAAGACTCTTTCCTATAGCAAGACTTTTGTGCTGTGCATTCCCTGCAGGGGCAACAGGCCGCCCTGAAATGAGAACAAAGTCCAAGCTATGCCTAACTTCTCTGCCTCAGTTTTCTCCTCTGCAAAGTGAGGCTAACGGATAAAACTGGACGAAGAGGGGCCTTACGCCCTTTCTGGTACTGAGACTGAGGTCTAAGAATCCGAGGCCAGAGGGTCTGATTTGCTCTCTAATCCTTTGCTTCTCGGGCTCGTTTTCCTCGTCTTATTTCAGTAACAAACTTACATTCAGCTAGCCTTAGAATTTTCTTAACAAACTTATATTCCGCTAGCCCGGTTTTCTTAGGAACCGTCCACGGGGCGGAAGGCGTTAAAGTGCTAGGGATCGCCTCACTCTAAGCAGTCTGAGGCCCAAGGCCTACGCGAGACCGGCCCTACGTCACATGGAAGCAGAGCTCGTCTCAGTTCCGGGGCGCCCAGCGAGTAAGGGGGCCACAGCCTAGACCCCGCCGCGGCCCTTCCACTGTCCGCGCAAAAGTCGCTCGCGAACCATATGGGGCGCGGGGCCCATCCTGCCCGCGGCCTAGCGTTCTCGGGACGCTCCCCCGCGCTGCCCCGGCCCCACTCCCCTGGAGACCGGGGCCTAGGGCGCTCCGGCCCACCCTAAGCTTCGGGACCGGCTGCTTCAGAGCTGCCTCCACCTCATCTCTCCCACCCAGAGCCACGGAAGCAAGTCCTGCCGTCCGCTGGCACCGCGGATCAACCAAAATCAGAGGATCCCCCGCGCCCTCACCTCATGGCTGCGGCCGCAGCGCCGAAAGGAAAGACCTCCCTGCGTCCGGGATCCTCCCATTATCTGTGAAGGGGAGAGCCCATCCCCTGCTCCGCTCTCACCCGTATTCCCCGCCCATCCTGGCATCCCCTACCACGCTAAACTTACTCTTATTCTCTGTGAAGAGCGAGATAATATAATCCTAATCTCGGGAATCTGTTTTAAACTCAAAAGATGTAGAAATAGATCCTTTCGGTGGGCAAAGTGGTATAGTCCGACTTCCTACTGGGCATGCGCAGCAAGGGCATCTGATCACGTGGGTAGTGGAAGCCGGAAGTCACGGCTGGATGGCGCAGGCTCGACGTAGTTTTGCTGGAGTGGCCTCGTCTTTGGGGGAGGTGTGGATTGTCTGGGGTGATGTTTTCTTAGCGAAAAAATATTAGTGAATAGAGTAAGAGAAGACGATGAGGGGAGATATCAGTCAAGACCAACCTTTTAGTCACTCTCCCCGTACACCGGGAATCCCTGCAGCACGGGATAGCTCGCCATAATTTGTTTTTGCGCCACTGTGTTCCGTAATCTCTTCGCGGTGCAGTCCACTCCTTTGAAAAGTGTACCTAATCCTAATATTCCTATCATCTGTTGTGAAGACCACATGAATTAACTTGCAAAGGAGGATGTTAAGACAAGCTCCTTGGTGACAGGAACCAGTCTTGTTTGGTTCTCGCTGTATGTGCGCCACAGGAGGCATGGAGCTTTACCTATAGTAAGCATTTGAGAAATAGTGCATTGGCTGACTGAATGGGTAGTTGTGAAGGTTAAAATAAATGGGATGATAGAGCCATCCACAGTTCTTTTCTCCTGCTCTGAAACACCCAATGCAAAAACCCAGAGAATATTCTGGGGTTCAAGAAACCTAGATCTGAATTCAGCTTTATCTCCTTGTTTGGCTCCGGCTGAGCACCCATCTCCATCACCTGAACTTTAATGGCTGCTAAATGGAGCTGAGGGAAGAGAGGAGGGGGAGCAAAGCAAAATTCATGCCATGTCTTCAAAACAACACGGATAGTGTCCTCATTTTACAGCTGAGTCCTGAGGTAGCAGAAACTGAACATCCTGTTCTTTCCGACTTCAGTATCCATGACTTTTCTGTCATACCATACCACATACTCTCTTGTGCCCAAGGGACAGATGGAAACCCTGCTCAGGGTTGGATCTGTTAGCACAGTGCTGATGTACTTCATTCTTATTCTCCCTCAAAGTAATGGGATCAGAGAAACAATTTAAGCTGGCCATCCTCTTGTAGAACCCAGGGTGAGGAGGAATCAGTGTATTCCACAGCCTCTCCTCTACTAGGAGGCAGCAGGCTGGGCTTTATATTAGAGTCACTGAACCTGGGCAAAGCTTGTCCATTCTGTTTCTCATCTTCCCTCTTTGAGGACCAGGGCAAGGGGTAGAGAGGTAATAATTCCTCCTGGAATTATGAGAGCCATGAGAGACTTCTGTTCAGCGCCTTACAGCATCTCCAAACACCCGAGCAGTCCAACATTTGATTTCATTCTCCCTCATCCTCCTAATAATCCCGGGAGACAAAGACACTACAGTACCAGCAACCCCATTTTATAGAAGTGTAGTTACTTGTCCAGGGCCACGTGACCGAGTGAGCCTGAACCAAATGGACACCAGAGCTGTTGTTGTTAACTCATCTCTATGTCCAAGGTTGGACTCTAACTCACCACCCTGAGATCAGGAATCACATGCTCAAGGGACTGAGCCAGGCAGGGGCCCTAATACCAGAGTTTTTGCCTGAGTCCCTTACTCCTTTTCTCTCCATAGGTGGTGGTGGGTGGGATCCAGGCCTTGGATATTTGACCCCAAACCAAGGATGAATGGGGAGCAATTCTAGGTCAAAAGTCTCTAGATCTGATTTTAGCCACTCTCTCAGCTCCACATTTCTCCCTCCTTTTTCCTCTCTCTTCCAAGAAACGGGCACCTTGCCTTCTGGAAGGGTCTGGGGAGATATGAGGGACAAAGCCAGAAGAACTCCTGGGTCCTTGGGATTTCTTATTGCTCTCTGTGTTGGGACTCCCTTTGGACACTCTCATCACCCCAGCCTCAGCTTCAGTCTCAGACTGCCTCCACCTCCGGAGGGCATCATCCTTTTGGAGGCAGAGGGGCCTTTCTGTTTGGTTCAAGGCAGCCTGTGACCACACTGGGGAGAAAGGAGTTAAAGCCGGGTCCCAGGATCAAAGAGGGAAGTTCCGGCGGCCCACACTGGAGTGGAATGGGCAGACCCGCGAAGGGAGAGCGGTTTGGGACGAAGCGTGGGGCAAGGGGGGGGGTGCGTGCCAATCCAAGCTTCACCTCCAGCGGCGCTCGTTATCCACCGGTAAACCGCGGTCCCGGGTCCCTGCCCCAAGGCCAGGCCTCACTTTCCACCCGACTCCCCAACCCAGAGTGTGCCGCTCTCACCCGAGGCCAGTTGGAGGCTGGCGCTGACCCACCTCCGAGCCCGGAGGGGCGTGCCTCCCTTCGGCCGCCCTCCCATTGTCTGTGCGGAACCCGCGGAGGGGCTGCGAGGGGCGGGGCCGGGGCGGGCGGAGGGAGGGCGGGCGGAGGGAGGGAGGGGCAGGTGGGAGCGGAGGGGGCGGGGGGAGATGCTGAGGCTTCAGGGGCGGAGGAGGCGGCGGCGGCAGAGGAGAGAGCGGGAGGAGGGACGCGAGGCAGGAAGAGGGCAGCCGAAGGCCGGGCCAGGTGGCTGGAGCGGGCACCGGCTGCGCTGCGCTGCTCTCGGTTCCGACGGCCTCTCTCATGCGCTGAGGGCGCCCGGCTGGGCCGGACCGGCGGCCGGAGGGGAGGCTCCTCTCCATGGTCCAGAAGACCAGCATGTCCCGGAGCCCTTACCCACCCTCCCAGGAGATCCCCATGGAGGTGTTCGACCCCAGCCCGCAGGTGAGGTGTGGTAGCCGGGCCCGAGGGCAGGGGGCCGCTCCCGCGGACCTTGTGGGGTCGGCTCAAGGGACGCGGGGAAGAAGGAGTTATGTGCCCGGCGCGGAGGGGCGAGGGGCGCCTGCGCGCCCCCAGTCCCTGCCAGTTAATGATTGATGGGCGCTTGGCCTGGAGTTGGGTTGCGGTTTGGCGGAGCAGGGAGGGGGCGGTCGGGCAGCCTGTCACCCTCGCCTCCGCTCCCTCGCGTCAGTGTCCCTGCTGCTCTGGTACTGGCTCCAGGGCTGGAGAGTGGGGGTACTGGCGGGGCATCCAGGGGTTGAGGGAGGCGAGAGAGAGAGCTCAAGCAAGGGGGCGACGCAGAGCACGGTCGGGGGGGGGCCGGGGGGGGGGGGGTGGGGCGGGGGTGGCACTGGGAGATGGCCGAGGCGGTGGTCAGGGCGGTGCCAGCAGGCCTTCGGAGCCGCAGACACGGGCCTTTCGAGGGTGGGGAAGGGGCCGGCCCCGGGCTAGGCCCCCATCCTGGCACCTCAGCTACATCCTCCTGTTGGACCGCTTCCCTCTCCCAACACCCACGTTATCTTTCCTTCTCCACTCCCCGCCCCCCCCAGCCTTAGAAAACGCCTCCAAAGTTTGGAAAGTTGGATGGATGCCAACTCACTGTCCTGGAGGGGAGAAAGCCCTGTTACCTGGGGGTTGGGGGGGGTGTCTGCAGCCCACCCCCAATCACACTTTGCGGGTGCCTCGGGTTATCCCCAGGAAGGGGTGTTCTTGGGTGTGGTGCGGGCCCACGGAGTGACCAGCAGGGTCTGGGGTGACTGGTCAGAGTCTAGGGTGGTCGCGCCAAGGGATTTCTCTAGGACAAGGCCATTCTCCAATCTGGCAACATCCCAAGGGTAGGATACCATTAACTCTTTTCTTGCTGTGACCAGCCTGGAGCAACTGAAACCACCATGAAAATGTGGGTTGATGGTCATGTGGTGGGGGGGGGTCAGGTTAGACCTAAAAATACCTCTCTTCTCCACCCTAGGCCCCTTGGAGCCTGGGAGGCAGCTGACTGGGGCCTTCCTTTCAGCTGTCCCTTGTCTCTCTGGGTGCCACTCCCTTTTTCCATCCTGGGGTGGTGGTGATGGTGTGAAAGAGAGTCTGGGGCTCACTGGAGGATTCTCTTAAGTTTGTAAGGATCCTCAGTCCTAGAGGTTGGGTGTGTGTTTGGTTTGAGAGAAGGGGCTGGGAGGGAGGAATTTTGAAGGGTTCCCAGGTACCGTTCTCTCCCATCTTCCCATGCTCCTTCTTGTACTCAGCCCCAAGGAACCAGAGACCCCAGTCTGATCATGTTTTATCTAGCTTCTTGGGCAAAGAAACTCTAGGATAGGGGCTGGGGGCAAAGGTCTGGAGGGCCTGAACCCCCCATCATCTCTCCCCAACACACTCTGGACTGGCCTGGGGCCAAGTGTGTATGTGAGTTAGGGAAGGCAAGGATGAGCCCCCTTGACAGGAGGCCTGGAAATACCTGAATGTGTGGCTGCTCGAGAGGTCAGGCAGTGTCTGCTCCACCCAAGCCAGAAGCCCAGCCAGTGAGGCTGAGCTAGCCTACCCCCGGGCCTTGTGAGGGCTGTGTCCTAGTCTTGTCTTGGGGCAGGGCCAAGGAGCATTCAGATTGATGCAGCCTGGTGGGAACTGGTTATGGGCAGTGGCTGCCAGGGGTTAGAGAGTGGAAGCTTGAGTCCTCTCCCCCTTGGGGAGAGGTGTGACCACCGTGATGATGAAGAGGGGCCTGAGAAACAGTCCTGCTAGTGTTGGTGGGGAGGGGGTTTGTGTTGTCAAACCTGCCCCCATGGCTCTGGGCTGGGTTGGGGTTAGATGTTTCCTTTCCAAATACAGTTAGTTCCATGCCCCATCTCTTGGGCCCCCCTTCCCCAGAAATCTGGTTTTGGGTCTTCAAGAACCGAGAGTTGCCACTCCCCTCCCCACTCTGCAGAAAAATGAAGGCAAGATTCGGGTTCAGGATAAGCCAAGCTGGGCCCAGGTTGGCGATTCCTTGTCACTCTGGGGGCCAGGCACAATCAGCCCCCCTCTGCTCCAGCGGAGGGGGAAAGGGCGGGGTACTTTCCCCAGCTCTCTCTGCCCCCCTCACACTGCAGGCAGCCTCTCTCTTCCCTGGAGGATGCCTGCCCAGCATCTTAATTAGCTTTGCTGCCTAATGAGTCTCCAGCTTCTCAGCGCCTCCCTGTTCCCAGTATCTCTGGCTTGGTTTGGGGGTTTCTGGGTGTGCTTCCTAAGGTTCTCTCCCACTGTTCCCCCACCCCAAGGCTGTGGTCTGGGCCCTCCCTCCCCCTGGGCTGTACCATCTCTAGAAGAAGATGGGGGTGTGGGGCTGCTCAGATCAGGGAATGATATTCCCAAAGCTTGGCTGTAGCTCTGGGCCTGATGGGATGAGGGTTGGGAACGGCCCTTTCTGATTCCACTCTTGTCCATTCCTGGCTTCCCCAGGGCAAATACAGCAAGAGGAAAGGGCGGTTCAAAAGGTCGGATGGGAGCACGTCCTCGGATACCACGTCCAACAGTTTTGTCCGCCAGGTAATGGGGAGGCTGGGCTCAGAGGAAGGAGGTGGGCTGCTTGGTGGAGACCAGCACTGGTGAGCTGGGGCTGAGGCTTTTCTCCAGGCACCCTCCCCCTGTCATTTGTCACCTGGCCGGAACCACCCCATCACCCTTCCCCCGGTGACCTCTCCTATACACACTGTCAGCCTGCACCCACTCCCTCAGCCCCCGCCCTGCCCCTCCCCCAGCTCCAGGCACCAGCCCCTGCGGCCTGCCTGCGTCATCTCATTCAGGGACAGCCTGGCCTGCCTCCTTCTAGCTTGCTTCGGGCTGTCACCCACTCCCCCTGCCGGCTGTCTGCTTCCATGTCCTCCCCCAGAACCTGTGACAGCGTGGGGTAGAGGCAGAGCCTAAGAGATGAGGAGCCAGGTCCTTTGGGTCCCTGGAGCCCTGGTGAGGTATGGCAAGGAGGAAACGCTCTCCTGCCCGTCCAGCTGACTGTTTTTGACTATGCAAAGAGAAAGTGTGTTGGAGGGGGTGAGGGCAGGAGGGGGTTGGTTTTAGAGAGGACTATAGCCCAGCACCACTGGCTGCAGGAGGCTGGATAGCTTTCTGGGGTCTTTTCTCAGTCAGGAAGATGCCATTCTCCTCTCTGTTCTCACTCTCGACCCCAAGCCATCTCCTCTCGACCCCAGGCCATCTCAGGCTCAGGGAGAGGCAGCCAGAGAACCATGTGGTTGCTATGACTACAGAGCATCTCAACAAAACCTGGTCTCCAAAAAAGGCGAGAGAGCCTTGGGATCAGACGAGGAAAGGGAATACATCAAAAGGGGAAATGGGCAGGGCATATGAGGGCAGAGGACAGTAGGGAGGTCAGCCCTCCACCTCCTCAGGCTGGATAGAGAGGGTGATGCCCGGCACACCCACCGACTGATTCCAGGTTGTGGAATGAGGCCCTTTATGACTCTTCTGTCTCCACAACACTTGGCACATGTGAGCCCGGGCCTGACTTGAGAGGGTCAGACAAGGAGCGCTTCATCCCAGCGTCTTCTAAGTACACAGACAGGAAGTTCTTTCTTCAGTCTTTTCCTCATCCCTCCTGTTGCAGGACTGGGCCAGGGCCAGAGCCAGGAGGAATGATGCTATGCTCGGTGTAACTCCTCTTGACAGAAAAGAGCCCTTGGTTCCTTCATTCAGTGTTTGCCCCCTCCCCCCCCAGGGCATCAGACCCCCAGCCTTCAGTCCTTCCTCCTCTCAGCTCCCTAGCTCTGACCCCTAGTAGGTGGCAGGGAGTTGGGGGGGGCAGGCCTTGCCACATCTCTGAGCTAAATATACCCTAGCAGTTTGCACATGTAGCAACTCTGCTTGTAACCTGAGCCCCCTGGGGGAACGGGCAGTTTGGGCCACCCCCTAGGCCGGCAGGGCCCCGCACTGAGGGCGCCGGGATGGAGGCGCCCAGCCGGACCCTCGAAGTGGTGAGCTAGGGATGGGGTGGGAATCGGGGTGGGTGGGAGCAGGCCCAAAGGGATAGCTGATGGGGGGAACCCTCACTCTAGCCTGTCTCCTTGCTTCCTCTCTGTTACCCTGCTCCTGCCAGTTCTGATATGTCTACTGCGTGCGCGTGTGTGTGAGTGTCTGCACGTGTGCATGCACGTGCATGCGCGTGCATGTGTGCGTGCGTGTGCACGCGCGCATCTCTGTAAGGATCAGTAAATGCCTGTCTCTCACGCTGTCTCTGGGTCTGTTTCTCTGGCTCTCTGGGCATCTGTCTCCCTGATTCTTAGTGCTCTCATCAGGACGGGTGGAGAGTGGAGATGAGCTGGTTTTCACCCTCCTTCACTTTTGTCTTTTCCGGCTCTTGTCTGTCTTGTCTTGTCTTCCGGCTCTTCCCAGCCCAATCTTGCACCTTCACAAGTCTCCCATTTTTGTGATTTGGCTGGGAAAGGAGTGGGCAGCCTCCCTAGCTAATGACAGGACCCTCTGGGGAAGTTGGGACTTTATTTTCTCCCTTTCCCAGGTCCCCCAGGCATTCCTGGCCAAGTGACACTTTCATGGTCTCAGGAAAGACCCCTGACATGGGTGTAGTCCAGCTCTTCCTCCGCATCCCCTCCTGCCCCTGTCCCCACACCACCCCATTTGTGTAGTCACACAGATGCGCACCTCCTGGCTCCTGCCCTCATGTGCCCCACACAGTCAGGGACATTCACACCTAGGGTGCCCCCGCCCCCCGCCTCCTGGCTGTGCTTAGGTGCACCTGTCTGCGTTCAGTTGTGCATATCCAGCAAATACTGAAGAACACCCTCCTAAATGCACTCGAAGTTGCACACCCAAGCACGCCCGTGAATAAGCATGTTCATCGACACTTTGGGTCTTACCCATGCGCCTGCATCCCTGAGGGAATTCCTTGTGCTCTGGGATGGTCCACATGGTCAAGGCCAGCTTCCTGGCATAGCCAGACTTGTGGACCCGCTGAGACCCTAGCAGCCAGCAAGGCCTGCCCCATGTTCTGTTCTTCACTTGCCTCTTTTGCCTGCACTACCTTAGGAATCTTGGGTTCTCTTTTTAGATCTTGTAAGAGCCTGAGGATTGGAGTTCCTCTGATTCTGGCTAGGGAAGTAGGATTTTATCTCCTCTCACCTTTGAGCAGAAGATAGCAAAATTTTTGGTGGCCCCATCCTGCAGAGCACGCCGCCTGCTGCCAATGGTGCAGAGACCTCAGGCCTGTGCTAGTGGCTACTGTCCCTGGAAGGACTCAGTGGGCTTCTCTTGAGTCTGTCTCAGCCTGTGTGGTCTTGGGGACAGGGGAGGGAAGGAGGAACAGGGAGTGGAGACTCGTCCCCTGGCACTCCTCCCCTGCACCCTGCCCCTATCAGGTTCCCACCCCTCCCTGGGCCCCAAGCAGCTGTCCTGGGACCTGCTTTAACCCCCTGCTAGCTGCTATCACCCTTCCTAGGGCCACAGTTTTCCCAGGGGCCTGCCAATCTCAGTCCCTGGTTCCTCTCATCTAAATACCACCTTTTCCTAGCCCTTGTGGCATCACGCTGGGGTGGCTGGGGCTTGAGGGATCCATGATGGGTGGCCCCTCTGTGCCTTCCAAGGCCCAGGAGCCGGGAGGCAGTGTGGGCCCTGAGTCAGCCTGGTCTGTTTTTAGGGCTCGGCAGAGTCCTACACCAGCCGACCCTCGGACTCTGACGTGTCTCTGGAGGAGGACCGGGAAGCCCTAAGGAAGGAGGCAGAGCGCCAGGCATTAGCCCAGCTTGAGAAAGCCAAGGTGAGAAATCCAGAGTCAGGGGGCTCTGCTGGCGCTATTTCCCCCACCCCAGGCCTTAGAGATGGGCCGAACAGACCCAGGGTCAAGTTTTGGCCCTGACACTTCTCAGCTGGTATACCCCAAGGCCTTGATGTGCCCCTGTCTTAACAGCTGTAAAATGTGGGCTATACTACTTGCCTTCTTGTGTAGTATAATAGGTGCTTAATAGTGTTGCCAGACATAATAGGAACTTGAGACTCTCCACTTCTTTCTGGAGTCCATTGTGTCCTGGGCTGATCCTCATAGCTGCGTGATCTCAAGCGAGCTGCTTAACCTTTCTGAACTTTGGTCTCCTCATTCATTAAAATGAAGATAATAATAGTAGTTAACATTTATTTATTTATAAAGATTTTATTTATTTGACAGAGAGAGACACAGTGAGAGAGGGAACACAAGCAGGGGAGGTGAGGGAGGGAGAAGCAGGCTTCCTGCCGAGCAGGAAGCCCAATGCAGGGCTCGATCCCAGGACCCTGGGATCATGACCCAAACTGAAGGCAGATGCTTAATGACTGAGCCACCCAGGTGACCACCACTTTTTAAAAAAAAATTTTAAGATTTAATTTAATTTTTGTTTTTTTAAAATAATCTCTCCACCCAATATGGGGCTCAAACTCACAACCCCAGGATCAAGAGTCATGTGCTCCACTGACTGAACTCGCCAGGCGCTCCTAGCAGTTAACTTCTAAGGTTTTTGTGGCGAATAAATGAGGTAATCCTTGTAAAACATGTAACATGGGCCCTGGCACAGTAAATGTAGCTGCAGTTATTATTATTATTATTACTAATATTCTTTCCAGATGTCATTCCAGACTACTACATCCAATCCCCAGTGGCCCCCTCCATTCTGAGAAGGCCAAATTCTATTTTTTTTTAAACTGTGAAATTTAACATATATACAGGAAAACTACTTAAACCATTCAGTATACTTTCTAATGATCAACACAGAAAATCTCCACATCATCCCCATCCCGTACAGTACATTGTGGCTTAACCCTCCTGTTGTCATTCTCCCTGTGCACCTCTAGACCAAGCCGGTGGCATTTGCTGTGCGGACAAATGTCGGCTACAACCCATCTCCTGGGGATGAGGTGCCAGTGCAGGGAGTGGCCATCACCTTCGAGCCCAAGGACTTCCTGCACATCAAAGAGGTGGAGAGAGCACTTGGTGTCTGGAAGGGTGGGGGCGGGGGGGGGTGCCGGGTAGTGGGTACCAGGAGAGGGGCAGCCGGAGCTCTAGTGGAAAAAGATTTCTGAGCCTAGCAGAACTTGGCTGAATCTGCTGTGTGACCTTAGAGAAATCTCTTCCCCTCTCTGAGCCTCTAATTTTCATTGGTAAAATGGGGTGGCGATGCCGAGGTCACACGGCTGGCTTTCGAGAGGGTTTGGGATAAGATCTGTAAGGGGAGTGGTAGAGTGCAGGCACATGTGGGTGTCAGCATTTGCTCCTCTTCCTGCCTTTCCAGGGCGCGGTGAGCCCATGGTGGGATGAGGATCTGCTGGGGGTGGGGTGATCTGTGGCCTGAGTGGATACAGGTCCCGGGGTTGTTCTGAGACCTGGGGGCTGGCTCTTTGTGGGGTGGGGGGGGGCACCCCCTGGGGAGGCTTGGCAGGTCCCGGGGTGGTTTCCCTCTAGGGTGGCTGCTGGCTTGCCCCTCCAAGCTCCCTTTTGGTCTCTCCCACCCCACCTGCTGTGGCTGTCCACAGAAATATAATAACGACTGGTGGATCGGACGACTGGTGAAGGAGGGCTGTGAGGTTGGCTTCATCCCCAGCCCCGTCAAGCTGGACAGCCTGCGCCTCCTGCAGGAACAGAAGCTGCGCCAGAACCGCCTCAGCTCCAGGTGTCTAGCTGGGGACCACAAGGGGGCCCTCCAGCTGGGACTCGGGGACAAGGGTTGACCACTTGCCCCAAGGGCCCAGCCGCCTGCAGGTGTCACCCGTGGGGCTGGAGAATCTCCAAGGGGAGTGGGGGGCAGGCAGCCTGTGAGAGAACAAGCTTCCCCCACCCTCACGCCCACCCCTCCGCTCACAGCTCCATTTGCCTCTCTGCCCACACAGCAAATCAGGTGACAACTCCAGTTCCAGCCTAGGAGATGTGGTGACTGGCACCCGCCGCCCCACGCCCCCTGCCAGTGGTAAGAGCTGCTGCCACCTTGGGGAACTGCGGGGGTGGGGCTGGGGAGCTCCTAGGTGGGGTGGTCTCCGCACTGCCTGTCCCCTCCTTTCCATGCAGTAGGGGGCGCCCCAGTCCTGAATCCTCCAAACACACCCAGCAGTATCCGCGCCCCCCCCCCCCCCCCCCCCCCCCCCGACCGGCGCGGGCCCCCCCCCCCCCCGCGCCCCCTGTGCAGAGTAGGACCCCCCCCATGCTGGGCCTGTCGGAGCCCATTCTCTCATGTCTCTCCTTCCCCTTTCTTTGGGAGCTCCATCTCTCTGCCTGACTCCCCTGCCCCATCCCCATTCATTTCTTCTAGCTCTTTTCCATTCACCTCTTCTTCTTTCTTTTTTCCCCATCCCATCCCTGCCTTCTGTACTTGTGTCTCCATGTCCATCCACTCCTCCCCACCTCGCCTCCCTCCTCTCTCCTGACTGCGGTCCAGGTAATGAGATGACTAACTTAGCCTTTGAACTAGACCCCCTAGAGCTAGAGGACGAGGAGGCAGAGCTTGCAGAGCAGAGTGGCTCTGCCAAGACTAGTGTTAGCAGTGTCACCACCTCGCCACCCCATGGCAAACGCATCCCCTTCTTCAAGAAGGTAATTCTTGCTGGGTTCTGGCAAGAGGGCAGGGGGTCAGGGCCCAGCTCTTTGGCAGTGGGAGGGGCCAGAACAGATTCAGATGCAGCTCTGGTCCGGTTCTTTGGGGAGCAGGGCCTCCTACCAAGGAGCAGGGAGAGCTGGCATGGCACCAGGAATAGGCACGTCCAGCTTAACGTACCAGCCCACCCTGGCCCACCCCCAGGAAGGGATGTTTCCTGCAGTTGAAGCACCCCTTCCCTTGGAAGGCTGTACCCTCTTGCCCCAGCACCACGGGAAGCAGGGGCCGGTGGTAACAAAACTGGGATGTTCCGTGTCTGCCCTCCACCCCCGTGTGTGATGGGGAGAGTGGAATGGTGACCCCTCTTTATCTTTTTTGGACGCCGTGGTGCTAGGGTGTGCACATGGGGGTCTACTGGCTGCACAGTGGGACAGTTTAAGGAACGCTTACAATGGGCAGGTTGGACTGCGCTAGAGGCAGGAGATGGGGACCAAATTATGGGCTGTCACCCTTTCCAGAACTTTTCCCAAGACCCAGAAAGGGGAAGGGCATGTCAGAATATTCCCAAGTCCACTGGACTGTCAGTCCTTCTCCCAGCCCTGATCTTGGGCCATCTTTGGCTCCCCCTTGGCACGGGGTCCCGTCCCCTCTCTCTGGCTCTGTCTGTCACTAACACGCATGCCTTGTTATCTCTCCTCGTCTGCCCGCTCTCCCTCCCTCTCTTGTCCTGGCTCCTTCCTTGCCCTCTGCCCCTGCCTGGGTACCCTCCCCCTCTCCCCTGCTCCCCACTCTTGGCAATCTCTGGACCCAGCCAAACAGAAGCAGAAGTCGGTGAGTATCACAGCTTTCTGTGTCCCCCTCCCCACCCCCTGGGATGAGCTAGTGGGACCTTCTAACACCCATTCTCGTCCCCCCCCCCCCCCCCCCCCCATTTCCCTCACCCTGGTTCTCCTTGGCCATCCCTCCTGATCCCTCTCATCTGGGCTCTGGGAGTAGGGGGAGGAGAGGATGCATGGGGGAGCCTGGAGGCTGGGGAAGAGGGGCTAATGCCATCTCCACTGTGGGGTTCCCCCTCCCTGCTTCCACCTCAGACAGAGCATGTGCCCCCCTATGACGTGGTACCTTCCATGAGACCCATCGTCCTGGTGGGACCGTCGCTCAAGGGCTACGAGGTAGGAGCCCATAGAGGGGAGTGGACCCAGAGGGGCCCAGACCTCTAGAAAGATGCTACAGAAAGGTTCAGACTCCAGGGAGATCCCCTGGAAGGGCCCAGATTCCCAGGGTATCTCTCCAGAGGGCTACAGACCTTCAGAGAAGCCCCCAAAGGGGCCTGACCCACAGGGAGACCCAGAAGGGTCTAGTCTGCCTCCCCCAAGACACCCCTGGAGGGTCTTCCCAGAGAATCCACCTAGAAGAACCCTTGGAATCAGAGACCCCATTGGAAGTTCCTCAGACCCAGAAGGAACCCCCCCACTTCCTCCAGGGGCCCATTTATCTCAGGAATTAAATAAGAAAATGGAATATGAGGGTGTACGTACTTAGACACCTGACTTCCTCCCCCACCCCAACCCCCAACCTCAGGTTACAGACATGATGCAGAAAGCTTTATTTGACTTCTTGAAGCATCGATTTGATGGCAGGTAAGACCCTGGGAACTGGCTCCCCACTCCCACTGTGGTCCTCTGCTGCTGGGGATGGGCAGGGTGGGTTTGAATGATGATCCTGGGCTTCCTTGGACTGAAGGCTAGGAGGAAGGCCTGGAGCCTGGGGGCATGGGCAGGGCACTCGAGCCCACCCTGACCCCTTACTCCCCTTGCTCCATCCCTCAGGATCTCCATCACTCGTGTGACAGCGGACATTTCGCTGGCTAAGCGCTCGGTCCTCAACAACCCCAGCAAACACATCATCATTGAGCGCTCCAACACACGCTCCAGCCTGGGTGAGCCCACCCTGCGATATGGGAGGGGAGGGTGGAGGGGGTGCATCTCCAGAAGGGCTGGATTGTCTGTTGCCTCTTGGGGAGGCCCTCCTGCATTCCCCCTTCCCCATGACTCTGTGCCCTGCAGCTGAGGTTCAGAGCGAGATCGAGCGAATCTTCGAGCTGGCCCGGACCCTTCAGTTGGTCGCTTTGGACGCTGACACCATCAATCACCCAGCCCAGCTCTCCAAGACCTCACTGGCCCCCATCATTGTTTACATCAAGATCACCTCTCCAAAGGTGGGTGTGAGAGCCTGACCCTAGTGGGGACAGGAGTGCTCTGGAGTTGGGTGGCCTGTATTTCAGTCCCAGCAACTGCTTATTAACTGTGTGACCCAATCTCCCTGAGCCTTATTTTCCTCCTCTGTAAAACTCCATCAGATGGACATTGTGAAAATCAAACCTAATGTGAATGCTTAACACTTAGCAAAGGGTCTGGTATAATGTGCCCCATTATGTATTAGCTGGTATAAGTATCATTGTGGGGTGATGCAGGCCAGCCCCTGTCTCCACTCTGGTTGACCTCCCGGCCTTGGTCCAGAAAACTGGGGGGTTTTTTTTGGTCACAGTGTCACCCAACTACTTGGCAGTTGGGAGGTCTTTTCTGTCATTTGATTTTGTCCCTTTTTGCTGCATTGCCCTCGCTTGGACCTTGATAGAGATGAATCAGGAGGAAGGCTGATTTACTTCTTTTTGGTGTTGCAGCTCTGTGAGTTTCCCCTCCTAGGCATTAGTGGGGGTTTGAGAAACATGGAGGGCGAGTTCAGGTGAAGGATTTGAAGGGAGAAAACAGCATTAGGTTCAAGCCTTTGCCCTGGTTGACTTATTCATTCATTCATTCATTCATTCATTCATTCATTCTTTCACTTTTGTTGTTTGTTTGGTTGTTGTTTTGTTACTGAGCTTGGGATCTCTGGAGGATTTATTTAGCCTCTGAGCCTCAATTTCTTCACCTGTAAAATGGGAATTAAAGTCCCTCCCTTGTTATTGTTGAGGGGATTTGAGGTAATGATGGAAAGAGCCCCGAGTTCTGTCTGATTCATGACTGACAACCAAAGGTGATATCTGTCCCCATTTTAGGGGCGCCTGGGTGGCTCAGTCATTAACTCAGGTCATGATCCCAGGGTCCTGGGATCGAGCCCCTTTGGGCTCCCTGCTCTGTGGGAAGCCTGCTTCTCCCTCTCTCACTCCCCCTGCTTGTGTTCCCTCTCTTGGTGTGTCATTCTCTGTCAAATAAATAAATACAATATTTAAAAAAAAAAAAAAACTTCCCATTTTGGAACACACCCAAGAGCGGAACACCCAGGTACCCTGACCTTTCTGAGTCCTAAGTTTCTAAGGAGTAGAAAGGGGAAGATAAGATTGAAGTCCTCCCTGGGGTGGTTGAAAATATCTAATGAGGGGCGCCTGAGTGGCTCAGTGGGTTAAGCCGCTGCCTTCGGCTCAGGTCATGATCTCAGAGTCCTGGGATCGAGCCCCGCATCGGGCTCTCTGCTCGGCAGGGAGCCTGCTTCCTCCTCTCTCTCTGCCTGCCTCTCTCCCTACTTGTGATCTCTCTGTCAAATAAATAAATAAAATCTTTAAAAAAAAAAAAAAAAAAAGAAAATATCTAATGAGTTAATGGATACAAAAACACTTTGTGAGCTGGGAAGTGACTGATCCTTCCATTTCTCCCAGGGGCACTGACCGAGGTGAAGGGTGGGGACTCTGGAACCAGGGCACCCGGAGTTAATGAACCAGCACTGCTACTCCTCGCTCTGTGCTCTTTGGGCAAAGTCACCTAACCTCTCTGTGCCTATTTCCTTGCCTGCAAAATAGGAATCCTCATGTGGTGGTTGTGAGGATGACATAGGTGGATTAAGCATGCAAACCCGGACCTACTAAACACTATATCTATTCTTTTTCTTTTCTTTTCTTTTTTACTTTTTAAAAAAGATTTTATTTATTTTTTATTTGACAGACAGAGATCACAATTAGGCAGAGAGGCAGGCAGAGAGAGAGGAAGAGAAGCAGGCTCCCTGCTGAGCAGAGAGCCCGATGCAGGACTCAATATCCAGACCCTGGGATCATGACCTGAGCCGAAGGCAGAGGCTTTAACCCACTGAGCCACCCAGGCGCCCCTTTTCTTTTCTCTTTTTAAAGATTTTGTTTATTTATTTGACAGAGAGAGATAAGCGAGAGAGGGAACACAAGCAGGGGGAGTGGGAGAGGGAGAAGCAGGCTTCCTGCCTATCAGGGAGCCCAATGCGGGGCTCGATCCCAGGACCCCGGGATCATGACCTGAGCCAAAGGCAGATGCTGGACTGAGCCACCCAGGCACCCCCCCCCTTTTTAAAGATTTTTGTTTTGAAATAATTCCAAATCTAGAGAAGGGTTGCCAGAATAGTTCCCAGGAACTGCCATTCTTTGAAGGCCCTTCATTCAGATTCAGTAATTTTTTTAACAGCTTTATTGAGATCATTCACACACCATTCAATTCAGCCATTTAAAGTATATTACTTAGTTTTCTTCAGATTCACTAATTGTGAACATTTTGCCACATTTACTTTATGTATGTGTTATGTATATGTGTATTTATATATATTTTTTCCTTCTGAATCATTTGAGAGTAGGTTGAAGATACCATACTATGTCTTTATTCCTAAGTATTTCAACGTGTGTTTCTTAAGAACCAAGAACATTAATCTACATCACCATAGTACAGTTGCCAAATTCCAGAAATATTTTAGTCCTTCATTTTTCAGTTGCCCCAATAATGCTCTTTATGGCAGTTTCTCCCTCAATTCAGGATCACGTGTTACATTTAGTTGCCTTATCTCTTTAACATTCTTTTTTTTTTTTTTTTTAGATTTTATTTATGTATTTGAATGAGAAAGAGCTCGAGTGAGAGAGAGAGAGAGAGAGCACAAGCAGTGGGAGGCAGAGAGGCAGAAGGAGAGGGAGAAGCAGACTCCCCACTGAGCAGAGAGCCCTACTTGGGGCTCAATCCCAGGCCCCCGAGATCATGCCCTGAGCCAAAGGCAGGTGCTTAACCCACTGAGCCACCCAGGCGCCCCTCTCTTTCACATTCTTAAACCAGAACAGTTCCCCAGCCTTTCTTGGATTTTTACGACACTGCCGTTTTTGAAGAGTACAGACCACAGACTTTGTAGACTGTTCCTCAGTGTGGGTTTGCTTGATGTATGCTTGTGATGAGGCTTAAGTTTTGCATTTTGGTGTGACGTGTCTTTCAAGAGGCTCGAAGTGTCTGTTGTGCTGTTGGTGACATTAAGTTTGATCATTTAGTGAAGGTCATGGCTTTCTCTTTAGTTATTATTACCATTATCATTACTGCTGTGGAGATGAGAATAATAATAGTGGCTCCCTCGTGAGATATTATCAGGACTAAACCAGCTGATCATGTGGAAAGCACAGAACAACGCCTGTTCGCAGCAAGTGTCCCATCAAAGATGGCTGCCGCTGTTCCCATGCGGATGCCTGCCTGGACAGTGAAGGCTGTAAAGGTGACAGGGATCTGGAAGGTGAATCACTGCCTTTCAGAGAGCCACTTCCCAGGAGAGGCTGGCATGAGACCCGGGAGAGAGCCTGAGCATTGTGTTAGGATGGACACAGGCCTGGCGAGGTCATTTCGGAAGAGGTGGTCAGGGCTGAGAGTCATCTAGTGTCCCTCCCTCCCTCCCTCCCCGGCCCTGACCTGCTTCTCTGACTTGGTGCACTGTGAGATCCCTCTAGCTCCTCTTCTCTCCCCCCAAACCAGGTACTTCAGAGGCTCATCAAGTCCCGAGGGAAGTCTCAATCCAAACACCTCAATGTCCAAATAGCGGCCTCAGAGAAGCTGGCACAGTGCCCCCCCCGTGAGTGCCCAGACCCTGGGAAAGGGGGGATATTTGGGTTCTCCTGTTTCCTCTGGCCTGCATGAGAGACAGAGTCACCAGGAGTACCAGGGTGGGGTCTATGGGAGTGAACTGGTCTTCCGGGAAAGGAGCGCCGGACAGGCAGTCAGAGATGGCTTTGAGCCCCAGAAGCCCAGTTCTGTGTGGGGCATCAAGCCAGCCTCCAGACTTGGTTGCCTTATATCTAGGACGAGAGGGTTGGACCGTCTGGGTGCCAAGACCTTTTGTAGTTCTGCCAGTGTCTATATCTGAGAGTCGTCCTCTTCCTGGACATCCAGAGGTTTCTTTTTAATTTTGTCCTTCAACCCTTTGACTCTACCCACTGCACCCAGGCCACACCCTCACCCCCTTGGTCACGCCCGGCTAATCCCAGCCCCGCCCCTAACCCCGACTCCACAGGAAATGTTTGACATCATCCTGGACGAGAACCAATTGGAGGATGCCTGCGAGCACTTGGCCGAATATTTGGAAGCCTATTGGAAGGCCACACACCCGCCCAGCAGCACTCCGCCCAATCCGCTGCTGAACCGTACCATGGCTACTGCAGCTCTGGCCGCCAGCCCTGCCCCTGTCTCCAACCTCCAGGTACAGGTGCTCACCTCACTCAGGAGAAATCTCAGCTTCTGGGGCGGGCTGGAGGCCTCGCAGCGGGCTAGGTCCGTGCCCCAGCAGCAGGAGCATGCCATGTAGGTGTCCCACCCATCTCCCCTTCTGTCCAAGGCTCGGAATTGGAGCTCAGGGAACATGGGGAAGAAGGGAAGAGGTTTATTTTGTAAAAAATGTGGTGAGTGGCAGCTTCTGGTGTCTGTGTTTTTTGATGGGATTGGGGTGGGGGGTGCCTCCCTGGGCCTGTCCTGTCCCATAAGACTACAGCTGCTGCCCTAAGGGCTTTTGGATATGAGGCCTGATTGGGGCATTATTATAAGACAGGTGATTAGGAGAAAAACATATGGAAGACTGATATTTTCCTTCACTGGACTTCACAGCCATTTTGTTTTTATTTTTTAAATTTATTTATTTATTTATTTTTAAGTAAACTCTACACCCAAAGTGTGCCTTAAACTCACAACCCTGAGATCAAGAGTTGCATGCTCTACCAAGTGAGCCAGCCAGGCGCCCCCCCACCCCCATTTTAGACCCAACAGAGCAAGGCCTGTCAGCCCCAGGCAGTTCCCACAGAGTAGAGCCATTTAACCCAGAGAAACCGTCCCTTCTCTCAGAGCCCTAATCCCAGGAGTTTCCTGAGAGGGGACCCAGAATGAAGCATCTTATGTGAGTTGATGCCCTACCTTCCATCCTTCTCCCAGTGAAAGAGATTCTGGGAAAGGCCCTCCTATGGGGGCCCTGCCCTAGGCTGGACCTCCTCCCCTGGGAGCTGCTTCCCATCTCTGAGCTCACACCATTAAGTATTTGATTCTAGATTAGAGCCAGGAGAAAGCCATGAAATCATTCTAAAACCATTGCTTTTCAGATTTGTTTTCAGTAACAGAGCTCATTTGTTCATTGAAACTTTTTTTTTTTTTTTTAATTTTTTTGGGGGGCGCCTGGGTGGCTCAGTGGGTTAAAGCCTCTGCCTTCGGCTCAGGTCATGATCCCAGGATCTTGGGATCGAGCCCTGCATCGGGCTCTCTGCTCGGCAGGGAGCCTGCTTCCTCCTTTCTCTCTCTCTGCCTGCCTCTCAGCCTACTTGTGATCTCTGTCTGTCAAATAAATAGATAAAAAAAATTTTTTTTTTATTTGTTTGACAGAGAGGGAGATCACAAGTGGGCCGAGAGGCAGGCAGGTGGGGGGGGTGGAGCAGATTCCCTGCTGAGCAGAGAGCCCGATGCGATGCGGGGCTCAATCCCAGGACCCTGAGATCATGACCTGAGCTGAAGGCAGAGGCTTAACCCACTGACCCACCCAGGCACCCCTGTGTACAGCTTTTATGTGAACATACATTTCCATTTCTCCTGGATTAATACCTAAGAGGGAAGTTGCGGGCTCATAGGGTAGCTCCCTGTTTAACTTCATTGAAACTTCTAAGGCAGCTCAGTATATAAAGTGTCCTTGCTCTGCTCGGAGGGGGCTGGTGGCTTGGCTTCCATTTCGCCTCCACAGGGACCCCTGAAGCACTTCTGTGCCCTTCCCGCCACCTCGGGTCTCCAGAGAACAGCTTGGAAACTGCTGGTCTAATCCCCATCATACCACCACAGAGAAACTGGGCCATAGAGAGGAGAGTCATTTGCTCAGGGTCACACAGCTTGAAGTGACAGGGGATGATACTAGAACCCAGGCCTTCCTGCACTCCACTCAGCTGCCTCCGTGGTGGCTGTGACCATCAGATCGCCTTTATGTGGCATTTGAAGCTGAAGGTGTTGGGCCACCTCATTGTCTCTGGGGACAGGGGAGGGGGAGGGGATTGTGTGTGGAGGGGGTTGGCGGTGGAGACCTGCCAGCTTTCCCCAGGCTGCTGCTTTGGTTTTTTTGCTGGGGTCAGGGCAGGAATCCTATCAACCTTGGAGACTTTGTCCTCTGGCTAGGGAATGGAGAGGGGAGGTGTGGGGCTGTGGAAGCCTGTGATTAGGGTCTGGTTTGAGCTGAAGGAGCTGGGGTTAGTGAGCTCAAACTGCAATCCCCTTAGTATATTTGGAAAATTGGGGCAGTGACTAACTCAATCAACCACTAACGAGTGGCAATGCTAATGAGCTGTTAATGATGATTTAGCCCAAGACAGCATTAATGACGTGCATTGAGGAAGCAATGACTAATTATTCATGGGCTTTCTACCATGGTTACCGGAAGAGTTCATGGCTCCTCATGTCTTACAAAGGTTGGGTGCCTCCTGTCCCAATAGAGGAGCAAAGGCCCTGAGGTCTGTCCTCTGGCTGGGCTGTAGAGCCCTTTGCCCAGCTGCCCACCCCCTTTAGCCAGGCTGGATGTCTTGGTGCCATCACTAACCTGCCTTGCTTTGTTGTGTCTCTCTCACCCCTGCCTGATCTGCATGGTGTGTGCTGTCCGTCTGCTAACCAGGGACCTTACCTTCCTTCCGGGGACCAGTCGCTGGAGCGGGCCACCGGGGAGCACGCCAGCGTGCACGAGTACCCCGGGGAGCTGGGCCAGCCCCCAGGCCTTTACCCCAGCAGCCACCCACCTGGCCGGGCAGGCACCCTGCGGGCACTGTCTCGCCAAGACACGTTTGATGCCGACACTCCTGGCAACCGAAACTCTGCCTACACGGAGCTGGGAGACTCATGTGTGGACATGGAAACGGACCCCTCAGAGGGGCCAGGGCTCGGAGACCCTGCAGGGGGCAGCACCCCACCGGCCCGGCAGGGATCCTGGGAGGATGAGGAAGAAGACTATGAAGACGAGCTGACCGACAACCGGAACCGCGGCCGGAATAAGGCCCGCTACTGCGCCGAGGGTGGGGGTCCCGTTTTGGGGCGCAACAAGAATGAGCTGGAAGGCTGGGGGCGAGGTGTCTACATCCGCTGAGAAACAGAGGCCACGCAGTGGGGGGTGGGGAAGGGCTCTGAGCCCCGGGGAGGTAAGGGACCGAGGGGCTCACCACCGGGGGTGTATCTTTCCTCCAGGGGGCGCTGTCTCCCTCTCAGATGCCTTCACCGGATGTTTGGGGTTTCTTTCGTGGTAGCATCCTAGCTCCCGGGATTCCCTTAAAGCCTGGCTGTAGGTTTTCACCTACCTGGTGTGGATGGATGGGGGGATGCCCACCTTTCTGCAGTGTCCCCTTTCCCCCGCTTCAGGGGGCTCTCTCCCCTCACTCCCAGAGAAAAGGTGCACTTCCTTAACTCTTTCTACTTGGGGCTCTATATAGGGGTCCTAAATGGGGTAGCCCTTTCTTTCCCCAACCTGGAGTATTTGGGAAGATTGAGGGGGCTTTTCCTGGAGAGGGAGAGCATAGACTCCTTCCCATGAGGGCTGTCTTCCCCAAACCCCAGATCCAGGGTCCCTCCCCGTGCCCACCTCTCTCCCAGCTTCCTGGCACTATCGTCTGGTGGGTGAAAGGTAGAGAATGGAAGCCCCATTGGGAGCTTGTCTTGGGGAGTGGTCTGGGTAGAGAGCGGCAGGCATCAAATGTCCTGGCCTCTGCCAGAGCCCGACCTGGACCCCTGAAGAGCGGGCAGCCAGAGACCCTGCTACCCACCCCTCCACATCCATGCCTTGGCCTTCACCCACCCCAGGAATGAGCTTTGCCTACAACCTCCCTTGCCTACTGCCATCAGAAGAGGGGGCCCCTCTGTGTCTGAGCCCCCCACCCCGTTTCATCTGGGTATGGCACCCGTGGAACACTAGTCCGCCTCATTTTGAAACCAAAAAACTGCTCCTTCACTATCATCCAGAGGCTCCAGGGGAGAGGCCCTGCAGGTTGGTGCCCAAGAGGTGATCACCACCCCAGGGGTCATCTCGGGACCTCGGATCTCCCCTGGGGGGCTTGGCTGCTGCTGCTGTTCTATTTGCCTCTTGTGATCCTGTCCTATACCCACGTCCACTCCCCCCAGGAGAGGCCTTGGTACCCCCCCGGCCCCCCGAGTGTTCCTCAGCCTAGCATCCCTTCAGCCCAGCAGCCTTGCCCCTCCCCAGCACCCAGCTGGGCCAGAGAGAGCCGATTGTGCCAACGAGGACTGGGCCCTGCCCGGCTGCCCGCCTCAGGGATGGGCCCCTTATGCCTGTCTCGCCACCTCCTGTGCCAATGTTGTCCCACCCCCCCCACTGGGGGTGGGGTGCAGCTTCCACTCACTGGTTAGAAGACACCACTGCCCAACCTTCCTCCCTCTCTGTCTGGTGTCCTGTGCCCCCATCTGTCTGTCTGTCCATCTGTACTCTCCTAGAAGTATTTGGCCACATATAAAACCGCCGTCATGTCCTTTGCAGCCGCCTCCTGAGCCTGGTTCTTCGTTCCTGCCCCGCAGCAAGCCTGGCCCCCGTGGGAGCTGCATGCAGGGGAGTGTGAAGGGGCGGGTACGAGAGGAAGCCAGGCCCCGAGCTGGTTATTCAACAGGATAGAGTGCTTTGTTTTGCAGCTCTCTCAAGCATCACAGTCAAGGCTGATGGGAGCTATCTGGCCAGTTTCAGCCACAGCTTCCCATCAGCCTCAAGTCTTACCCATTCCCCCATAAGTAGAGCCTGGGAAAATGGGAGACTGAGGTGAAGTGGGGTGTCACAGGCGTTACTCAGTGGGTGAGATCCAGTTTTTCTGCTCCTGTGGGCTCAGCCCAACCAGCACTTCCTGAGAGTGGCTGAGTTCCGTCTGGTGCCCTTCTCCACTGATGCCCTGGCTGACCAGCTTTGGGGGATGAAAGAGGTCTACTTTGGGGGGCAGAGAATGGAGGCCACCCCAGCCCCAGCCCGATAACTCAAGAGTGAGAAAGTCAGCAGGTGTCTATGTCAGTTCTGTCATCACCAGCTGGCAGGATGTGGACCCCAGACTATTGTCACCGCTGGCCCGTGTATCCTGCCTCATGTGGCACTCAAACCATTTCTCCACTCTCCTTGTTTCTGGGGTGGGGAACCTGGAGGACTAGAGTTCTTGGGTCCCTCACCTGTATGTTATTGCCCTAAGTGCATGTGGCCGGGGGTTGGGGGAGTGTAGAGGGCAGCAGCCATCTAGACCTTCCAGTTGAAAGGTTAGCAGACCCAAGGAAAGGAACTGGGCAGGTCCGCAGGTCAGGAGGCTGGCCCAAGATCCCAGGGAGTTGATGGCAAAGACTGCTGGGATTGGAGTCCAGTCTCTGCCTCCCAGCCTAGTGTTCTTACCCCACTGCCTTTCAAAGGAGTCAATCCTTTATTCCTGTGTTTACTCACTGAACTTTAATTGAGTACCTACTGTGTACCAGGCACAAGTCTAAAAGGGAGCCACAGACCATTCAGGACAGCACTGTGAGCTCTCTGCTGGGAGAAGCACTGGGTTCTGCACCCTTAGTCTGGGGAGGTCAGGAGAGGCTTCTCAGAGGAGGTGAGGCTTCAGTGAAGTCTAGAAGCCTGGTTAAGAGTTAACCTGGTGGTGGCGGGGGGAGTAAGTGTTCAAGGCAGAGGAAGCAGGTGACATGCATGGCATGTTCCTGGTACTTCACCAGCAAAGTGTGCTCTCAAGGTGGTGGTCAGAGAAGGGTCAGCAGGAGCAGATCATAGGGGGCCTTGAGTCATGTGATGGGAGTCTGGGCTTTGTCCTGAAGCCACTGGGCAGACATTGAAGGCTTGTAAGCAGCAATGGCAAAGTTGTCTTTGTTGCGGTTTGGAGCATAGATTGGAGGGGCTAGCCTGGACACAGCTGTGGTCCTCCGGGTAAGAAACAAGGTGGGGCTGCGCTAGGCCAAGGCAGTGCGATGGGAAAGGAGGCAGTGGCAGCCAGAGACAGCAAGCAGTTAGAAGCCGGCGCTCTTGGAGAGCAATCGGTGGTGGCCAGTGAGAGAGAGGGAGGTGTCTGGGGGTAACTGTGGGTGATGGTCTTCCCGGACATAGAGGAAGCAGGTGGAAAAACCAGGTGTTTTTGTTTTTTGTTTTTTTTAAGATTCTATTTATTTATTTGACAGACGGAGATCACAAGTAGGCAGAAAAGCAGACAGAGAGAGAGGAGGAAGCAGGCTCCCCGCTGAGCAGAGAGCTCGCTGCCAGGACCCTAGGATCATGACTTGAGCAGAAGGCAGAGGCTTTAACCCCCTGAGCCACCCAGGCGCCAGAAAAAACCAGGTTAGGGGCAGAAACAATGTCAAGCTTTGGACAAGGTAGGCTTATGGTGCCTGTGGAAGGACACCCAAGAGGAGAAGAACAAAAGGCAGCTGGGTGCTTAGTCTGAAGAATCAGGGAATGGCAGAAAGCTCCATCTGGGGGTGGACCCCGATCTTTTGAATCAATGGCAGGAATTATTAACTTCAGTTTACGGATAAAGTTCAGTGAGGCTAAGCAACACCCACAGTTACATGGCTATGGAGCAAGGACATGAACTCAGATCTTTGGAGTTCAAGTTCTGCGGTGCCTGTAAGCCCCGAGTCTCATGCCGATTCCCCTGCTCTGGCTTTTGCAAGTGGAGGAGGGTTGGGGAGGAAGAAGCATGTGTCTTGAGTATGTTTGTCTCCACTTCATGTGCCTTCTGCCTGAAATTGTGTTTTCCCGGAACTGGCAGGCGGGGGCATTTCTAGGTGACTTAGAGATGTTGAGAGATGAAGAAAGAGAGATTCTTGTCTTTTGGTAACCACAAGCCCTAAACTGATGTTCATTCAGCACGGTGGTGGTTGTCAGCATGTGAGGATTTCAACAACCATAAAGTCAGCTGGGATTAGATCTAGAGAGACTGGGGGACTGGGGTTACTACTACCTCAGGGAGTTGGGAACTGAGGTGCTGGGGACCCCTCCTGTCGGGGACCACTGAACCAGTAGCTTCTTCTTCTTCTTTCTTTTTAAGATTTTATTTGTTTATTTGAGAGAGAGGAGGCACAAGCATAGATAGGGCAAAGGGAAAAGCAGACTCCCCACTGAGCAGGGAGCCCAATGCAGGGCTCGATCCCACAACCCTGAGATCATGAGCTGAGCTGAAGGCAGCTGCTTAACCAACTGAGCCACCCAGGTGCCCCTGACCTATAGCTTCTGTCCAGCTTCTGAACTGAGGTCAGAGAGGCCTCAATCCAGTGTGTGGCCGAAGGTTTTCCCACCTTCCATCAAATCACAGAAGCTGATCTGGGACCTCCACTGCCCGGGCGCAATGGGTGTTCCAGGTGGTACCTTAGAGAAAAATCTTGTCTTAGCGCCAATAATCACATCCTCAAGAAAATGTGCCTTCCTACATACTGTCTCTCAGAGTTTTGTTCTGGTTTTATTTTTTGATGTTTATTTTTGGTGTTTATTTCTCTCTCGCACTAAATGGTAAAGGCTCCAAAAGACCCAGACCGGGTCTGTTTTGTCTGCTTGGCCCATTTCCTAACTCCTGACTCATATTTGTCAAATAAATGAATGAATGCTCCCTAAGACCCAAGATCTAGGCCTGGCAGCAGAGGCAGCTCTCGTCTGTGACGGACTGTGCTCCAGCTAGCAGAATGTCACTTTCAATTCTGCAATTGGTGGTGGTAGTTGGGAGGGAGGGGCAGGATGCACTAAGGGGTTCCTTCCCCCCCCCCCCCAGGAAACAGATGGTTAAAGTGTTTAAAGTGTTGCTGCTTCCCCCAGCACCCTCTGCACCACCATTCTACTGCACCCAGCATTCCTTCTTTCCTGGGGCTGAAATGGGCTCTGGTAGTCAATTCTCCTTCCCTCTAACTCCAGGCACCAAGGCGGTTGAGGTGAGAATTCCTTATTTAGCTGACTGTTTTTCCTCTGCTCTCTCCATAGACTTCCCAGCCTCCTTCATGCCTCTTCAACTTGTGCTCATACTTCTTTAATGCTTGAAACACCATCTCTCAGGCTCTAGCATAACTCATTGTACTTCACTCCAGTAGCAACACGGTCCCAGGCACTGGACCAGGCCCGGAGGGGGGTGGGCGGAGAACAAAGTTGAGCAAGACCCGAACTCCACCCTCCTGGCCTCAGGGCTGATTGGTGGAAACAGGCCAGTCTCCAGTGTCAGGGTAGAGAGAAGCCCCATTTGTCTGGAGAACCAGGCCAGGGCTTGGGAAGTCGGTGGTTTCTATGGCAGGCGGCTAAAGGCTTTTAAGAACCCACCTTTCTGAGAAGGTGAAAGACATTCAGGTGGAGGAAACACAGAAGCAAAAGCATGACAGAAGGAGCTGGGCATGTGTGGGCAAGGACCAGTGGACGTAGAAGGTGGGAGATCACCTGCAAAGGCAGGTGAGGGCTGTTCATGGAGACTTGTGAATGTCAGATGACGTGGCTGATCTAGATCCAGTGGGCACTAGGGACTCACTGAAGGTTTATGAGCTGTGGAGTGCCAGGCTCTGGGCTGGGCTTTATGTCGGTGAATAGGGCTGTGCTGAGTCAGGGGGAGGCAGAGGAAGGGAGACAATCAGAGGTTTTCCCCTTAGTGGAGGGGAGCACTAATGCGCTGCGGGAGGACCATGGCAGTGT